TGGGTTTAATTGTGATTGTTTTTAACTTATAGGTCTTAATGACATCAGTTAGCATCATGACACAATTTAGTCTTCCTGTCATAGACATAGCAAACCCCTGCACTTATTTGGCTTATCTCAATTTCTTTCACTGGAGTTGTGTGAATTTTTTCATATAGTCTCCTTGTATTTTGTTAAACTTACATATAAGCATTTCATTTTGAGGGTACCCTTGGTGGTTACATTTTAAATTATACTTGTTCATTTTTGCTAAATGGGAAAATTATGGGCCTGTGGCCCTGGTAAATTAGCTACTGGTGTTGAGAGTGTCTTACTTTTGCTTCTGTTGTAACTTATTTTGGATTTTCTATCTAGATTATTCCATCAACTATGATCAAAGACAAGCTTATTTCTTCCTGTATTAATCTACTCAGGCTGCTTTACAAACACTATAAGCTAGATATACACAAAAAGTATTTACTTCTCAAATTCCTGGAGTATGAGAAAACTCTAATACCAAGGTACAAGAATGTTTGGTGACTGGCTCACAAATGAGAAACTTTCCTCTGTGCCCTCATGTGGCAAAAGACACAGTATCTCTCTGTGGTCTTTTGTAGAAGTAACAATCCCACTGAGAACTCTGCCCTGGCTACCAAGCTGCCTGGTAAAGAGGACATCCTGTATTCCCAAACTTACAAGGGAGTGCAAATTTTCTCACTGTTAGGGGTGTTTAAGTTTTATGTCTTTAAAAGACATATTTCCAAAATTTTCATACTTTTGTCTAGTTACAGTATTAGTAAGTTGAGAATTAATTCCTCTCATTCTATCTTCTGGAAACATTTCTACAGAATTGGGATTTCTGTCTTAATTGTTTGATAATATCTACCTATGACCCCACCAGAGCTTACTCCTGCTTTTTATTACTATTTTAAGATTTTATATTTATTTATTTATTCATTCATTTGTTCTTTCATATGTGTATGTGTGTGTATAGATTGCTGTGCATGAGTATGCAATACATACAGAGTCCAGAAGAGGGCACCCTGGAGCTGGAGTTGAAGGCAGATGTGAGTGCTGAGTCCTGTGCAGGAGCACTAGGAACCCTTAACCACTGAGCCATCTCTCCTGCATTTTAATGAATTTTTCAGGCACTGCATGTTGATGTCCCCGAGTCAGAGCCTCATACTGCTGCTTTCCTTCTCTACAATGAATTCTCCTTTTTCTCTTTATTGTATTAGAGACTGTTGTTGAAATTTCTCTGCATTCTCCTCCAGACACCTGTTTTCCCTCCTTTCTCCTCTCCTCTAATTCTTATGCTCTGCTTTCCAAAGCTTGATTTAGTCATGCCTGATTTAGTCAGGATTCTTTTGAGGAACAGAACTGAACTAGGGGTGTGTGGGGGTGTGCGTGTATTTGTGTACACACTCATCAGAATGTATTAAGTGAGCTTTAAAACAGTAACAATCTCCAAATCATACCTGAGACACAGAATCCTTTAGTTCTTTGGTCCTTAAGGCTGAGTGTGTCAGTAGTTGGAATAGTTCCAGAACAACTGTGTCTCACTGGGGAACACAACCAGTAATCACTCAGTCCACCAAGTACCATGCTTTAGTATCCCAAGTCTAGTTCCAAAAGTATAGGCAACTCCTGGAGAGCTGCAGGTCCCTGACCCAGAGTGAAAGCTTGGAAACATTGGTTTTGTTGTCAGGGGAGGAGTCAGCAGCAGCAGCAGCAGCAAGGCAAATCAACTTGGTGGTAAGATGGATGGAATATCAAGTCAAAAAAACACAAGAACAAGCCTCAATCTGAAATACAGATACTTTCTTACCTGGGCTCCTACTGGAAGGTGCCACCCACAATCAGAGTTGGTCTTCCCAATTGATGAATCCAGATAATTCTTCAGGTGAGGCTCCCTATGTGAGTGATTCTAATTTGTAGCATATTAATGTTCCCTCTTGCTACAAACTGTAGTAATGCTTTTTAGATCCATATTGGTATATGAGAAACATGAGGTTCAGAAAAGTCAAGACATGCCTCCAACATTCTGAACTAAACTGACCTATGGCTGTGGTGGGCTAAGATGGCTAGACACAGGCCACAGAAGTACCAGAGCTTATGAAGGGTAAGTGGGTATCTGTGTGTATACCATGCTTAGTATGCTTTGAGTGAGAAATGTTCCCCATAGGTTTGGGTGTTTGGACATTTGGTCCCTAGTTGATGGCGTTGTCTGGAGAGTTAATGGGTAAAGAAAAACCTTGCAGGAGGAAGTACATTATGGCGAAGGCTTTAGGTTTTCACAGTCCCACCCCATTTGCTATTCCTTCAGCCTCAGGTTGGAATGTGAGCTCTCAGCTTCCGGTCGACCACCTGGCTGACACTTGCTTCTATGCCTCCCTGCCATATTAGGCATCTTCTGCAACTATAAGCCAGAATAAACTCTTCCTTCTATTACTTGCTTTTGCTTTCAGTGTTTTATCACAGCAACAGAATGGAAAATTAACAAATGCCCATGGGTATTGTGTGTGAACATTAGAGTTGTTTCAAAACTGCTTGCTTGTTATAACTGACAACTTTTATTTAGCCTTGTCTTGTAATAATTTTAGTTTTTAGAGGAAAGCCATTTACTTCAGAACAACTCGATGGAATTGTGAGTTTTCAATTCTCCTAATCTGTGTACTTTTCTTATTGCTGTGAACAAATGAATCCCTGGCCAGAAGCCACCTAAGGAAAGTAAAGGTTTGTACGTATGTGCATGTGTTTATATGTGTAGCTGTAGAACTGTGTACATGCATGAGGAGACCAAAGGTCTCCTTGAGCGTCATCTAGTTCATCAAAAACATCCACCTTGTTCTGTTGTTTTATCTTTTTAATTTACTGTTTTCAAAAAACTGTGTTTGTGTCTGTGTGTACTCATAGATGCTAGACAAGGATGTTGGAATTACAGTCACAAGCTGCTGTGAGACACCAGACATAGGGTTTGGGAACTGAGCTCAAATCCTCCATAAGAATAAGTGCTCATAACCATCAAGCCATCTCCTCAGTCCCACCCAACCCAAACCTTGCCTTTTCAGGGTCTCTTACCAGGATTAGGGCTCTCGTGATTAGTCTAGGCTGGCAGGCTACCAAGCTCCAGGGACCTATTTGTCTCTGCCTCCTGAGTACTACAATTACAAGTAAGAACACGATGCCCACTGTTTTTGTTTTGCTTTACTGAAATAGAGTCTAAAAATATCGACTTGGCTGTCCTGGAAATCACTCTATAGACTAGGCTGGCTTTAAACTCACAGAGATCGTCCTTCCTCTACCCCCCACCCCACCCCCCGCCCCCCATGCTGGGATTAAAGATGTTGGCCACTTGACATCATACTCAGTTTTTAACTTGTATACTAAGGCTTAAACTCAGGTCCCTTCGTGTATGTGGAAAGTACTTTACCAACTGAGCTATGACCCCAACCTCAAGAAGGATTCACAGTGGAAGGGATATCCATCCCTCACAACAGGATTCAATTCACAGTAGAAGAGGTATTTAACTCTCACAACAGAAAAGACATGGTAGCAGCTCCATAGTGGCCAGAGCATGTGGCAGCCACTTACCTCTCAACATAACAGGAAGGAGACTGAATAGGTCACCCTCAGTGACCCAGTTCCTCCAGCTCTGCCTGACACACTGAAGGTCCCACAAACTCTATAAACAGCACCTTTACCTGGGGACTGAGTATCCAAGGCCACCATCCATCTTGGTGTGGGGGAACATTTTACACCCAAACCATGAAAGCTATATTTTACCAACCTGACAGTTACCTATGGAACTGACCCTGGCTACTCTAAGTGACCTAGGCTCATTTGTTCGCCTGTTTTTACTTCAAAGTCTGTCTTCTCTTTATATGAGGCACAGTTTTGTTACTTTAATAACCTTTAAAAAAAAACAGGCTTCTATACTGTTGATAGGTCCTTAACGATCTTGCAAGTAAGTGGAAATGTTTAGAAATGAGGTAGCAAGCTAGGCAAGAGAAAGAAGAGGGAAAGGGAAAAAAAGGAGACGCGGCTGCATTACAGTGTATATTATTTTTATTGAATACATATAGTCATTCATATTTTTACATATTACATATATTTTCCCGCAGTAGTATCCTTCTGTTAAAGCAATAGAGATGTAAGTGTTCAATTAAGTATTTCAGTTAAAGAACCAATATGAAATTTTGACTTTAACTAAGCAAATGCATGATAAGTTAATTCCAGGAATGACACTAAACTACTGACCCTATTTGGCTTTCTAGAAACTTTTCCTGATAAGATTGTTGTTTTATTAATGAATAAAATATAAAATATACTTTAATGTTAATTGCTAACATAGAAACAACAATGAAATTTATAAAACAAGAGCATTCAGTCTGATTATTAAAATATTTTTTGTGAAGTCTATTAAAATTGCCTAATTGCGATTACATAGATATGTATATAATATATATTTTTTACCTAAAGGATATAAAATAATAAACTTTCAATATTTCTGGGCTTCAATTTGTGGTCAAACTCTTAGCTAAAAAATACAAACTAATGTTGTAATGTTTTATATGAAATGCTTAAAACTTCAGGGCATAATACAATATTGTTACAGCAAATTATATCCTGAGACTCTGGAATTAGTCATTTTTGTTCAATGGGAAATTGTTTCTATAAAGATTATGGGACCAAATGAGGGACAAAGCTGCAACTCGTCATAAAGAGGGATAAAGCTGTATTTTTAATAAAATTAAAATTTTAATGTATTAATTG